AATGTAGGGTTTTCTTTGGGGACCCTACCCGGAGCCGACGACTCAACAGTCTAACCTGCTCGGCTGCAGGGGGTTGGCCCAACCCGAGGGCGCAGGGAATAAGGCATTACTGTCTCATTCCTGATGCGGCTGCGCACAGCAGGTGCCTTTTGAGCAGCACCGGGATCTTTGGTTTCAAAGGTATTTCGACCGTATTGGATAATGCGCCGGCGGTCACGGTCACGGTCAACCGTTGGGCGATCGAAGTGTGCAGTTTTTGAGCCGACCTTTCCGACCACTACGTCAAGGTGGCAGCTTTAGATCGGGAAATTTTTTTCCTGATCCCACAGGACCTTTAAACTTTCTCGGCCTCCTCCCTTTTCTAAAAGACATCAACCCCTTGCCAACATTTGCCCAAATCCTGTCTACTGGGAATAGTTTTTGGCCTAGACACGACATTTGATAATCTGCTTGAACATCTTCTTAAATATCGGGATCATGCTAGACATTATCGTATCTCTTCCACCAGTTTCTCCATACCAGAGAATTTGGAAACTTCGTGCGTTAAACCCATTCACCTCCAGTCGTGTTGAAAATTATAGAGAGGACAAGATCACGACACCGTCTCACCATGGTCTACCCTGCTATTGAATGAATGCACAGTTGCTTTCCTTCCTTCGAAGTAAGGACACTTAAGGATCCATCTATATGATCACTCTTTAAGATAGTTACTGACTGCTACACCAGTCAGTTGAAGAGATCCTGTTGTAATACGCTCCAGGTATTCCGCCCGATGGAAGCATGAAGGTTGAGATACCGTCAGATTGTCAAAGTCCAGATAGAAGCAGTTGAGATGCCGAAGTTGAATTCAAATCACGAACCTTCCCATGAGTAAAATCGTACCTCAGCCACCGAGCAATCTCGGGCTCAAGAAGTTTTGTTTTCGGCGTGTCCAGGCCCCTCCTCACCTTACTATTGGTAATGGCACTCAACGCCTGGCGAACAGAACTTTATCATCCAAACGACTAATGGGATATCAGACTGTTGCGCTGGTTGGTGATACCGGGAGCGGTTGTCCTGGATGTGACTCAAAGACTTTCATCATTTATAACATGACTTAGCTAACCTAGGAGAATGGTCCGTCTGGCAACCCACTGATCAAAATGCACAGAAAAGTAGATTCTTCTGAAGAACATAATCTTGAAAACCAGTTGGACATCATACTTCAGTACTGAACCACTGCATGGACGCAGAACCGATAACAACAAAGGGAAACAGAAATATGATGTGAGCTCGCAAGTAATGTAGAAGTATATACAAATGGATACAAATAATAAATATTGTCAACTGGAATCTTTGTGAAACACCCTGGTGATGAAGTGTTTGAATAGCAATCAAGTCAAAAACCCAAGCTGTCACTGAGGATCAATTCAATGAGATAGCCTAATCATAAATGTCACTGTCATTATCATCAAAGAATTCCTCCATTTCCTCCGAGGTGAACCCACCGCTGAAATCGGAATCATCATCGCTTGAATAGTATCTGGGAGGTCCGCTTGGCCAGAGTTCTTTGAAAAGAAGAAAATCTCTTAGTTTCTGCGGAAGTGGGAGTTGGCTGACTAGTTCCCAATAATTTGGACATTCGGGCCGGCGTTCTAAGTCAACGAAAGAGATGGAGAATCATGATTGCAATCAAGATCCTACATGTGATATTGATTTCGACTACGATCAGTTGTGCAGTTGGGCAGGAACAACTAGTAACGATTTCCCCAGGCCGCACAGAACAGTACGGCTAATAAAACTAAGAACGGTGATGTGAAAGTCACATAGAAGGGGAAGGAGGGAAAGGGAACCTGGAAAAACGGCAGATCCAAAAAAGACTAACACATCTCAGACCTCGGGGAGAGACCATTCCCACATGTTCACTGTAGTACCCTTTTGTTGAGGCTGATTACGGCACATACTTGATACGAACCACCTCCACAGGGCCAGCATTTTTTTAAGGAGGAAGAGAAGCTGCGGGGGAGTCACTGAACTAAGCTGGATAGGACAGGACGTTGAGGGCTGACCAAAAAGTGTTTACCACTTTGGTTATTTGTGATCAGTCCTCCCCTGCCAAAATTCAGACGGCCGTCCCTTTATTGTTATTAGGGATGACGTCAACATGCTGCTTCGGTAACTGTAATGATTGTATGGGTCGCAAACTGACCATAGAAAAACCAGAGGGGTTTGGGGCCTTCCGTTCCCAGTGTGTTCATGCTGTTATCGAAGTATACCGGTTTATACATATAGCTGTGTTCCAGAGTCATTATTTGTTTGCTGAATCAACCTAAATATGAAGCCCGTTTGTCCGGTGTAGGCCTCGACAAGCCTTTTACAAGTGTAGTGCCCAGTTAGAATCAAAGCTAAGCTAATAAGTGAAGAGCCGTCTTGAGAAGACAAAGCAACCGTAAGAATGCATGGGCCACCTTCGATTTTTGAACATGAAGATCAGGAAGGTCACCGCTTCAATAACGGTGTAAAGATTCTGGCGGATGGAAGCACCAAATAAGTAAATGAATCTCCCAAAGAGTGTTACTCCACAATAAACTCAACCACTCAGCACGTTGAACCGGATGCAACCTTTATCGCGAGCTGAATGGGATGACCTAAAACACACCCAAACATTGGACAAACGAATCAGACGATGCAGTAACCAGAGGATTGATGCGGCCAAAGTCGCCGAGTACGAATCAGATAGGTCAATTTCAAAAGTCCCCTGAATTTCGGACAATAAGAGCACGAGTGGAAGATCCAATCAATAGAATCACTCATTGGCACAACCGATCACAATCGAAGACCACCACCCTCAGGAGAAAGTATATGAATTTGCGTGCGCTACTACTCGACGCATAGCTCCGCTCCTTAACTGGTGACGAAACATTTGCAACAAAATTATCAAACTCAAAGAACAACTTGACCAACAACTGAACAAACTGAGCAGTCAACACTCTTCTATTATGTACCATTTGCAGACTGAGTTTTGAAAATCATCATTAACAGGGAGAGACAACGTAGTTAATTTGAAAGCAAACCCGGGGTTGCCATTTATGGATTGTGTGACCGTCGCTCTCCTATTCGTATGCTGGTATCCACCTTTCATCTTCTGAAGGGGTCGCGTACTAAATTATACCTACAGGAGGCAACTGGCGTGTAATCATCAAAAGAATGGTTTCTCACGGAAGTGCAAGTAGGACAGTAAGAAATCCACGTTCAGATGGCGCACAAAACAACACGAATGTGGGGGTTCGAGCGAGAAAACCGTACATAGGTGAGTTAGGGGTAGAGGATATAAAAGGTTTCTGAACCACTAGGCTGGGATTTTTGTTGACGTATCCTTTCCCTTGGTACTTGCGCTGTGTACTCTATATAACTTTTTGACACAGAACCTCAAACCTACTACAGAAAATGCTTGGATCCCGATCACACAGTGGAAGTGAGACCAGTTTTTTTAGAAGGGTTTCGTAAACATTCGGTGGTTCTATAATTGATAAAGAGGCCAAGAGAGCACGTTACTCGGGTTGACCGGGTTTTAAAGGAAGAAGACGGAGGACAACTAATGAACAAGACCTTTTCCGATAAGCACAATGCTAATCAATGCTGTGTCAGCTGGAAGGTCCTGTTGGTCAATGTGAGCACCCAAATCTTACAGCTGATAGAGGTATTTTGAATAATTTTGATCGGGTTTGTTGGCACTGGTCGTGTCGCAATCGGATAGATCAAAATAGGTCACTTTTTGTCAAGCTGACAAAATATAGACAGTTGAAGAGCTAAGACGATAATTTCGAGAACTGTGAACCTTAATGTGAAGCCATGGAGAGCTGATTTGAGGATAGCTGAAACGGAAAGTGTGTGGTGGTCTAGTTATAACAACTTCTCAGTACCATGCCATGCCATGCGAAAGAGGCACGAAGGTCCAGAAACGGAAAGTGTGTGGTGGTCTAGTTATAACAACTTCTCAGTACCATGCCATGCCATGCGAAAGACGAAGGAAGGTCCAGATACCGCCAGGTTAACCAAGCCTAGACAGGAACAGTCGAGATCTAGAGGCTGGGTTTGAACCACGGAACTTCCAATCGACAGGTTCCAGCTTTAAACAGTGAGCCATCTCGAACTCAACTTCGTATAAGAAAGAAATAATCCATAGCTGTTCTTCTACACGGGAAGCCACTGAATTCATACGGAAAATAAAGAAAACGTCCCGCTGTTCGAAAGGGGAAACAATTTATTCCGATAAAAGCGACGTCCTATCTAGTGGCAAGTAAGCTACTGGAAAAATATCGCCCACTGGTTTGTCCGATAAGTATAATGCAAGCAACACAGACACACGATAAGACAATATTTGATCGAAGTGAATTGTGGGGCTCACCTTGAAGCGTTATTAGGTGAATACGGATACGGACACGACAGCAGACCAGCAACGAAGGCGGGTCAATACTAGCGGAATCGGTAACTGCCCCAACGGACTTGAACCGGTGTGCCGTCCATAAGCTGAACACAGAAGATAGGTCGGTTCTTTGTGTCACAAAGCAATCTGGTTGGAGTAAACATTGCGGAAAACCAATGCACTCAGACAGATGGGTTAACCATTTGATTTCCTCTGGTGCTAGGAGGTGCCAGCTTTTGATGTCTTCATGCTTGAGAGCATTTAATTTCGAAAACAACGCTGGTGTCGAGAACATGACTTCAAAAAACATGTTGCACAACTCGACCATCGGTGGATTACGCTCAGCGCGCCGTTTCGGTCTCGTTATTTCTTGAACCTGTGAGAAAGGGTTGATCTGTGACTACCGGATGACCAGATGGAAGATAACATAGACAGACAGTGAAACTACCTTGGGTTAGCTGATCGGTACGAAATTAATTCACCTACAGTCTAGTTAAAAAAGCATAAGAGTTGTGATGTTGCCAGGTTAAACAAGACCATCATCAGGCGCGGGTTCGAACCAAGAACTTTCCGGTGCTCATCTTCGCGCCTTAACCACTGAGCTAGTACAAGCTCAAAGTTACCGCTGACGCCGCTTGTTGAAACAGTGCTATCAACTAATAATAACAATGATAATAATCATTCAGTTATAACATCTTTCCGGCGCCTAGCTGCCACCAGAAAGGAGCACGAGGGCTGAGATATTACCAAGTTGCCCAAGCATAGACAGAAGCAGCAAAGATGCAGAGATCGGGTTGGAATCACGCACCTTCCAATCAGCATGTGCGTGTTCCAACCACGGAGCTATCTCGGTTGGTAGAATTGGGTCAATAGCGAACACCAATATTGCTCCGCTATCCAATTGTGGATGAGAAAAGGGCCACTTGGGCAGTGTCTCCCTTCGAGTGAGGTCACCACCAAGACTATCTCCTCAGGATGGAGGCGTCCTCAGCGGAATCAGTCGTAATCACCGCATATATAACCGCAGTACCTCTTGAAAGGGCAACTGTGCAACTCCCAATTATGACATCCAATTTGAGTTCACTTAGCTACTGTAGCATATGGTGTTCATCAGTTTCGTTGGTTTACATGTAAGTATCGGTGATGTACAACCTTGCTTACTGGGCTTCGGTTCATGAGCTTTCTTTTTGTTTTACATCCACAGAAACTGTCGTGAACACCTGCCTTCGGAGAATTAACTGCCCCATGGTGCTTCCATAACGTGCATACTACACCACCCTTAAGGATCAATGTCTCGGGTTCTTCTACCCACTATCTCCATCCTGTTTTGTCTGTCTCACAATCACGCGTCAACATTGTGTCATGAATAAGACCTTGACGAACATGTCAACTTCGGTTCCGTGATTTTTTAAGGGACGCTATGTGATTTCCCACTATTGTTTTTACGTTCCACCCATTGCAACATATATAATAACAGAACAAGAACAACCACACGCACGCACATTTTAGTTGTATTTTTATTCATAAGGTGCACCTAACTTTGTAATCCATTTAAGCGTGATACTCAAACCTTATTAATGTCTCTCGCTTCTGATATTCGAACTCAACGTCTATTTATTGGAGCACTAAAAAATGTAACCAACCCAAAATCCACCCGCTCTTTAAAAACACTTTCGGAAGATACTAAAAGAAACCGAACAAAAACCGGATGGTACAAGAGCACGGACGGTGTTGTATGTGACACTTATGTTGTGTCTAATCATGCGGAACAGACTGTTGGAATGTGTGGTGAGATATTCCGTTGTGGCTGAAGGGGCAGTCTCCCAGAAACCAATACATATTCTCGACTGACTCACACAATTGGAACATTGTGAATCTGTGCAACGGCCCATCTTAATGTTATATCGAACGAGGGTTTTTAGCGCCACCTACCTAAGCTTGAATAACAACCACAGAATACATTTGGTCCAACTAGCATATGCTAATATGGCAGCAAAAGCTACGGAGATCATTGGGACCTGGATAACTGTCGAATTCCCGTGAACTGCTCCATCGTAGATTTCAGCCTCACTAGCCCCCACAAATGCTGCTGAGTTTGCCGATTTCGTTGAACGATGTACTGGCAGTACTCAGGATGCCCACCGTTTGGAGTGAGGGTTAACTAGCAACTCTGTCAATGGCAAAGGCATATACATCCAGGCCTCACCTTGGGGACCAAATAAGCCATTTGGGGAACCGGAAAGTGTCCTTTCTTAAGTCTTAGGCTTTCTTTATCGCGATGATGGAATGCGATGGGAAAAGTTCGCGCTATCGGAGACCTCCTACACCACTTTGGAAAATTCCTCGCAGAAAACAGTGTCGTGATTTTAACTACCCATGAGCACAATGATATATAAGTCAACTGGCGTAGTCGAATCAAGTTTACAAGGATGAAATGACACATTCCATTGAACCTGTGTGCCTTTCACTCAAAATGACCTGGTTATTGATGACGCAACATGCCTAGTTGTGCATCGAGACTTCTCCGAATTCTACAACGGCCTTTGGTGAAGTGGAACTCGATTGCCCGACTGAGTAGACGGTAGTCACACGTCACGCCAGTAAATTAGTCGAGAACAAGCATGGAAAACCCATGCAAACACATGTCGAATAGTACACGCAAGAGCAAAATTAGGTTGAAATTCGGGTTAGGATGAACATCAATATGTCTCCAGGATTGGAAATTGCGCAGGTATATCTCGAAAAACAACAGTCCAAAATGTGGCATGTATACGAACCAATGGCAAACACCGCACTAAATGACAACGTTCCCAGAACAAAGAGGATCCTCTTTCGAAGGTCAATCAGGAACGTCGATCATAACGCTATTTATTAATAATCCAGAACAGCCAGTAGAAAAGTACTCACTAAGATTGAATTTTCCAAACCACATAAAACGTCCAACGGGCGTAACAACAGTGTCGACAAGGAACAGTCATCATTGTGGTAACGCAGGTTGTTGAAACGCTTGGGTATTTGTGGCAAAACACGATCGACTTTCCATAAGTCGTCTTCTGAAAACGCTTGAAACAGATCTCGAAAGCACCGGTATTTCACGTTATACGGAGGATTGAACAGAGTTGTCATGCATTGCCTAGCATTCCGGTTCAGTGCATTCTGTTGTAGGGTGAACAGGGGTAGTAATAATAATAAATAATAACAAATAATAAATAGTACTCGTTCAGTTGTAACATCCTTTCGGTGCCTAACTGCCACGCCACCCTGAAGAAGCATAAGGTTGTTCAAGCACAGACAGCAATAGTCGAGATGTCGGGGTTGGGTTCGATCTTTTGGTCAGTAAGTTCGAATCTTGGCCACTAAACTACTTCGAACTCAGTGAACACGGGTGAAGCGAAATGAATGGTCAACTTGGGTCGGTCAGTTCCTGGAGAAACCGCAGACGACGAATCCTCGTTTAGACAATGTAGTTTCTGTTCAGTGAGAGTTGGTGACAGTACTAGCGAAATACACCCATTTGCAAACGAATTTGGATTTTGCGAGAGACGCACTTGGAAACCAGCTGAATATCTCGCTTGTGATGTTTACAGGATAATACCAAGAGGACTGAGACAACCTTGAGAAACCGGTCGTGGGCTGCCGAAGAATTTTCAGCAACCTTATGAGTAGTGCATTACGTATGTATATGTATCGCGATATCTTGAATATCGTAGCAACTGAAACATGAGGCGGCTTGGTACAGCAATTCAGTAGCCTGTAAACACCACAAGCGAGAGATTTAGCTGGGTTCCAGATGAGTCTCTCACAAAAACCAAGTTTGTTTGCATATGAGTGTATTCGGCTAATTTCGTGCAATTTGGTTTCAAATAGAACATAAGGTTGACGAGGACTGCGCCTACCTAATGAGCCCTAACAAGGGCGAAAATGGTCGTGGGCTGTCGAAGAATTTTTAGCAATACGCATGTGGTGACAGAACTCTTTGGAGGTGAGA